ATTGTCTAAGTTTTAAAATAAAATATCTCTTCATACAATATGTTTTGTATATTCTTCCTCCTCCCCCAACTCCTCCCAGATACTCTCCACCCTCCCATACCCACCCAACTTCATGGTTTTTTCCTCTCTCAAAAACAAAACAAAAATAATAAAAAAAAAGAGACAAAAACTGAGCAAGACAGAAGGTGCCGAAATAAATAAAAATTTACGAATGTATTTTTAAAAAGGAAGCTGCTGCAGAGGATGCAAAGAGGGTGTCGGGGCGCAGTACAGAGTGGAGCTTTCGGAATGCTTCCTACAGTCTAACCACTTGTACAGCAGATGATGTCCCACACTTTGAATGTTGGATTATAGGCAGATGAGCTTCAGTGCCCAATCTCCATCCTATGGCCTTGTCTCAGACCAAAGACCAATGTACAGCTGCCCATTTCTATAAAAAAATAAGAAGTGATGGGTTGCAAAAAATTATCGTTTCATTTAGCTTTCAGACTTGATAGATGTGTCAAAGAGCACATGAGACGTTAAGCCATGTGTGCCATGTTCAATAATGGGTCCATTCTGTAACTTTAAAGCATGTAAAGCCTTACATTGTTACCAAGGATACCGAGACTCTAACCTGGAGTCAGAAGGAGGAATGAGGGAAAAGAAAAGACTCCTAGCTGGAGTTGGCCCAGGACCAACTCACCAAAGACCAGGGACCCAGTTGGTGCCTGTCTTGTGAGCATCATGCTCAGATAGAGAAGTCCTAATTCAAAAAGCTGACTCCCAATTGCCCTAAATTGAAAACTTTTCCAGTGCTGACATGGCATTCAAAAAGCTTTAAATTTTGTGTCACTTTTTGGGTTAGGGATGCTCCCCTAGTAAAGTCTTAGCAGTTATCCCCAAATCTAGTAACTCCAAAATCTAAAATACTTATGATCCCCAGACTCCTGGGTCAAGGGAGCCATCCTGGATGCACTGTGGGTTGGAGACTGGAATGAGACCCAGTGATTGCAGCTCAGTGGTGCTCTCTGTAGTTTAGATTTGAAATGCTTCCGACCTCACATTTCTCTCCCCTAAACCTCCACAGGTTAGAGGCTTGCTTACGAAACTTGGTGCTATTGGGAGATGCTGGGAACTTGAAGAGATCATATCTAGTGTGAGGTCTTCCAGTGACTGGGGACATGTCACTGGAGGACTATTGGGAACCCAGCCTCTTCCTCTCACTCTTGTTCATCCCAGACATGAGGGAAGACACTTTACTGTGCTATCTGGTCCCTGTCATAACGGGCACCTTGATACAAGTCCCCAAAGCAATGGGTGCACTGACCTTGGACTGAAACCACCAAGAACATGATTTGTAATTAACCTTTCCCCTTCATAAACAGATTATAAACTCAGGCCATTTGTCAGAGTAACAGAAAACTGACAAACACAGTATTTGTGTGCTTTTATGTCAAGCTGAGAAGAGGCTGCCTGGAACTCAAGCCTTCACTGAGATGTTTGGTTGAGCTTCAAACATTTGTGTCTGTTTCCACCCCCGATCTAGCGTTTTGTTTCGTTTTAGTTAGAAACTGAAACACAGAAAAGCCCTGGTTAGCATTAGTTGTACTCCTAAAATTTTAAGTTCATCTATAAGTTACTAATACACACATATATGAAATATAAAGTATATAGGGGAAGTACTTCAAGCAGAGTGCTTTGGAGTGTTAGAAATTACCATCAGTTAGGTCTATCAATTTGTTATTTTCCTTGTTGGACATTGTGCTTTGAAGATTGGCCTTGCTATAACTTAGTTTTGAAAAGTGGTGTTTTGAAGAATGTCTTACCGTTTTCCATCCTTCGTCTTTGAGCCACATGTATGAAGAGAAGGCTGAGTGGCTATATGAACACTTACACATCTCTGCCCTCTCTGCGAGGAGACAGCTTTTCCATGGTGTGTTTTCATTTCTGTGGGCATATGGTAAAACATCAATCCTACTTTATGTATAGTCAGCAATAAGGAATTGCATGATGAACTATGGAACCATCCAAATGGCAGATTACACAGTTATTAACTGGTGATTGGGAACAGTACACAGAAAGGGGAAGATGCTCATGGATTATTTAAGGGAGAAAAGAAAAAGACAAGCAGGCTGCTGTAATCATTCCGATGTGTAGTGCATGTGGGCGAGGTCTGGAAAATGAGATGGTAGATTAGAAGCAAAGCAGTTCTCTTAGGACACTGGGAATCTGAGTTCTCAAACTAGTTTCTTTTTTTTTCCTCCAGCAAACCAGGCTGTCCTCCAGTTCACTATCTAGCTGAAGATTGAGGATGACTTTGAACTGCTGATACTCCTGAATCTGCCCCTTTCCCATATGCTGGAATTACAGGACCATTACCACCATGCCCAGAAAAAAATACTTTTCTTTAATATGATAAAAAAAAATAATAATGGTAGTAAAGATGGTGAATTCACCAAGTAGTCGATGCTATGGGCACAGAAGGGTGTCACTAATAAGTAGAGATTAGAATTTGCAGAAGAGAAGGAACCCACTCTCCTGTTTGTCAGCTCAGTGGATGTTAAGATCCATAGTACTGAAAACATTTCAGAGGAGTTGATGAGCACAATTGGAGGAGAGCCGGAACCTAACTGTATCTGGACCCCTCCTCCAAGATGATTGCAATAGAGAGAGTAAATGTTGAAACAGTTGTCTAATGTGCTCCAGCTTGGGTGTCTTGGCTGAATTCACATTTAGGAATCAAGAAATAGGCAGATGGGAAAAGAACCTGGGGTCCTAATGAGTAGGAATACAGAGCAAGAGAAACCGAATAGAGAAATTTTCAAAGTAAAATGCCTATTTAACATCAGTAGAAAATGAGTACCTGGATGAATAGCAAAGACGGGAAAACCAGCGCCTGCTTCATTTGATATTAGTTAGGGAATTTTTAAAGGCTTCCAGGAACAATTCTCTTTCTTCTTGTGTTAACATTAGTAATTTCCTAAAGCTATTGGCTTTGCCCCCTTATTTCTGCCTCTATTAAAAAAAAAACCAACAGGCTTACTCTGAATAGTACTCACACAGTTGATTAGGGCATCAGGCTGCCTTGCTGTGTAGAGAAGGGGTGGCTCAGTGGAAGATGCTAACAAAAATCCACACAAGACACAGCTACACATTTTATTCTTTGGGTAAAGAAGGCTAAATTTCTCAGCCCAACATTTGCAAATCATTCTTTCAGCACAAAAGAATATACCCAAGAGTGTGTGCTTAGATAGCTTCAGTATTTTAAATAGGTAAATGGAAGAATTTCTTTTTTCCTGAAATACAATTTGAAAATGTGATTAAAAACAGCTTACACCTCTAAATCAGTACTTGACCCATGATTTGGAAATAAGATTCTGTGCACACATGTACGCATTACATGAAAAATTCTAAACTGTTTCCAGAAGGCAACTTTTCCAAATTCCAAACCTTAGCCGACACTCCAGTCCCCTTCTCTCAGACCCATGTAAGACGTGCTGAGCCCAAACAACACTCTTCTATCTCCTCACGTCTAAAATTGCTTACAGTGGCAAACACACCAGGGGAAACTTTAGTTCTTGCACTCCCAATAATCTTCTTTATATAAATATTATTTTCTGTTTTCAAAACAGAAATGGTGATTTTTAGGAAACTATCCCTCACCACCTCAGGTCCAAAGTCAGTATGGTACAAAACTTCTGCTGGATTACTTTGGGCTACACCAACATTTACATTTTTTTTCTCAAAACAAATTTTAGCCTCAATAAGTTTCAGTTTTATGCCCAGGAATGGATAGGTGTCTAATAAATAATACATAGTACTGAAACACGTCTGCTTTCCTAGTCTATGAAAGTCTTTTGAGTAGCAGCAATTCAATCCATGTTGCATGATTTTGCTCACTGTATAACATGGGCATGCATTTTGCTGTAGCTTATTTCCTGCAACAAACAGTTCCTGTGGTTTAGTATTTTAGACTATCCCACCTGGGAGTGAGTGATGGAAACTGTGTGTAAGTGTGTAAAGTATGTAAAGCAGTCCATCCTCACTCCTCTTCCATAGACTAGGAAACTGAGGTATTGGAAGATGAACTTTGTCCAAGATCACACACCTCATTTTCTGACACTGAGGCCTGACTAGAAAGATGACATCCTTTTGGTCCTAAGCATCATTCAAGAATTATGATTTTTTAAGAGCATGATCCTTAAGAGAGGACAGTTGCCACACTTAAGAATCACAGGGTTGGACTTGAAATATATAAAGATAATCCCCCATTTATTTTGCCCTTGATTTACCTTTGGGAGAAAGTAACGAAAAGTACTTGATATAATGATTAGAATTAAAATTCACTGATGGGTATAAAAGAATCCTAATTCTCAATCCTAAATCTATCACCATTACTATATACACATATAATTCAACTATTCTACAAGAAGGATAAAATGGCATTTCAGCTGATTATTCTTTTTATCTGTTGCAATTTAGCAAGACAAATAGGAAATCCATTTTAGGATAGCATGACAATGTTTCTTCCCTCAGCCACATGGGAAATAATGAGATTTTTGTCATGTAAATTTCTCTGATCCAGTGAAGTTAATGAAATAAGGGCTTCAGATAAATCTTATAAATTAACTCTTGTTTCATTGCATTCTCGGTTAAGGGGAGAGGTGCTGTTGAACACTGGACAAATGACAGCATTTCCGAAGGCTTAACTATAGCATCTCATACAAACTGTTCATAATGCTCAGGACTATTGGATTGACTTGTAGTTTCATACTTTAAAAGGTATATAGTAATTCCTAGTGCATGCCTCCCAGAAATGTTGAAGGTATTTTGTAAAATACAAACTGATAAGAAGAGATCCTAATCTATGAAAACATCACATCAAGTCATCTTGCACCTGGTAAGGAAATACATTGGTGTCAATAAATATGTTAAAAACTTTGGATAAAGTCCCAGCAACTCAACTCAAATGAAGACTTTAAGAAGTAACACGGCCACCTAAAATATAAACGTTTCACATAACATAATCAACACTTTATTTGAAACCATGATCTTGTCAGAGGTCAGGATTCAGTTATACATTCCAACAATTTTTAACTCCCTTCATTCCAAAACTCATCCCATATCAGGAGATTTTATCTATTCTATCTTGATTCTTATGTCTTTCGGCAATTACCATGTATGAAAAGCTATCATCAGACAAAAAAAAAAAAAGAAAAAGAAAAAACATATAAAGGGACATACAGTTTTCCTTCATGTTCTTTAAACAGAAAGCAGCCAGTTTCTGTGTGAATAGCCCCTGCATCTTTTGATACCTGGCAGCTGAGGCTCTGTAGACTCACCTGACGGCCAGCGCTTTTTGGGCCGTTTTACAAAGCATTCAACATTGTTTAATTTGTTCAGAAGCAAATGGAACTTTCTTTCCTGTTTACTGCCTCTTCCCACTGTCCTTAATTCTCCTCACTTTCCTAAACTATGCCTCCAACATGCCTATTTACATGAATGTCAGGCACTAGAGGTCTGCACCCCCATCACATACCATGCCAGTTTCTAACAGTGGGAAGGCTGTTGGAGCAGAGATTCTCTTTTCTTGGGAGCTGAGTATAGCAACGTGTCTGTCAACATGGGACCCTTGTATGAACAGGTCAGACTATTGTCTCGTGGTCCCACCTGCCTTGGCTCTGGTTAATGTAGCAACAGTATCTGTCATAGGGACTGTTTTGCTTGTAGGAGCAAACGATGATACTGTCCTGGGGCACAAAGAAGATGCTGTCCTCGGGCTCAGGGCGGTCAGATCTGTCCCAGGCTGAGCACTTAGCATCCAAGGCACTGTAGGCGAGGGAGCTGGCCGAGGGGCAGTAGCCATCCAGATATCTGGATGTCTCCTCCTGCCGCCCACTCTGGACTAGGCTCTGGCATTCTCCTTCCTCTGTGGGAGTGGGGGTAGTAATGGAGCTTGCCATAGGCACCTCGCCTGGTCCCTGTGGGAGCTGCTTGCCTCTGAGGCCTGCCTTCTTAGCCAGTTCATCCGAGCTCCCCTTGCCTGACTCCAGGTCTGATGGGGTCCTCAGGAGTTCCACCACCTCCTTGTCCTTGGGCTTCCTGAAGCAGGGCAACTTGCGGACCCATAGTAGCTCGTTCTCTGGCCACTTGGTGCAGCCTTCGGTTTTCCTGGCCAGAGCAATGGCTGCAATGCCTGGTAGGCAGATGGCTGGCCCGATGGCCAACAGAGGGATGTTCCCCAGAGTTTCCCCCTTCATGCCAGAGACAGTGAACATGAAACCAAAGACCAGAAAAACACTGACCAGGGCCACCACCAGCCCAGTCCTCGGATTTATGTCATCAGGCCGCATCTTTCACTCCATCCAGGTTGGGGCTTTCTGGTAGCGAGGGAGTACCCCTTCTCTTTTTCTGTAGGAGGTGAAACCACAGGGGTAAAAAAAAAAAAAATCCAATCCAACTTCCCACCCACCAACTCTTTCTTGCTATCACTGACTCTACTCCTCTCTCTCTCTCTCTCTCTCTCTCTCTCTCTCTCTCTCTCTCTCTCTCTCTCTCTGTCTCTCTCTCTCTCTGTCTCTCTCTCTCTCTCTCCTTCCCTCCCTCTGTTCTCCCCCCATCACTATTGCAACCCTGTCTATCTCATACCTACATGTGCCAAGTACGGTAACCGAGTTACCTGAAGGCTCTTGCCGCCGAAAGCTTCGTATGGGCTGTCCCGCGGTTCTCTCCTTTGATTCTGAGAGCCAAGCCTGGTTTTTCCCACCGACACTGCACAGGAGGGGGACGGGGCGGGGAGGAGGGAGGCAGGATACGGGAGGAGGGTCTTCCCCAGCGGCTGCGAGTAGGTCGCCAAAGCTCTGGAAGCTGAGACTGGGCGCAGTAGATCGGAGTGGGCGCGCAGCGCTGCCAGCGGGGAGGGAGGACTCCGTCCAGGCAGTAGGAAAGCGCGCGAGCCTGGCCGCCTTACATCACTTGCACCGCGCTGGGAACTGAGATGGACGCGCGGGGGCGCGAGGGGGTCAGAGCCCAGCGGCTGCGGGAAGCGGGCTGCTGGGGGCTCTGGTAGCGGTGCAGCGGGAGGGTGGCTTGGACCTGTGTCAGTGCCGCTGCTGTAAGCCTGAACCCAGAGCGCTTTGTCCACGGGGAAGCTGGTGCACCGTCCTAGTCTGGGTTCCAAATTCAGGGTCTAAGGGCTCCGGGGACAGCATGAGATGATGTTGGGAACTGGCTCTCTTACCAGTTCCACATTTCATGAGCAAATGCCCCTTCTCCGACAGTAACCAGGTTCCCGAGACTGTCTCTGCCTTTCTCCCAGGCAGCCCCACCAAGCGCAAGGTAACCCTCGAAGCCGGGCTGCTGGCTGCTTCTGCCTAACCAGGGCGTCCCGGGAGAGCACTCAGGCTCCAGGAGCACGAAGGCCCGCAGGAGGCAGGTCTCCTGGTCCTGCCTGTGCCTAGAAGTCACCTGAGTCTCCTCTGTTGGTCTCCCATCTTTGCACTTGGCAGAAAGTAGCCTTGGAAACTCAGTCCCACAGTCGTGGTTCCAACCACATCGACTGGGGCAAGGACTCTTGGTTCTGATCTTCATTCAGGGTCGCCCGGATAGCCTGCAGGACAGACTTTGGTGTGGAGGGTCAGGCTCAACCTGCAACAGGAGACAAGACTCTCCCGGCTTGCTGACAGCCCAAGTGCTAATCTCAGTCCAGGGTCAGCCTGCAGAAGTGTACAGAGTTCTCTTGTCCCAAGGGATGACTGGATGCTGCTGCAATCCTTCACCTGGGTCTGTTTAAGGTAGAGGAAGGGAGTTAGGAAGGCAAAAAGTACTTCTTTCATGCCGAGTCTCTGACTTGGGGTAAAGAATTTTGACATCCAGACCTTCTCCATCTAAGCTGACCCTGTGTACCAGAATGAGTGACATCACCTTTCTGAGAAGCTGTCGTCAGGAGACTATTAACACCAGATGTCTGAGCAAATGCTGCGACTATTACAGAAGTGTAAATTTCTAGCACAAGGCTTTGGTGCATGGTTCCTATTCAAAATACACAGAGAGGTATACTCTTCTCCTACTGTATGATCGTAGTGCTCTCAACATGTAAGGCGGGGTCCAGATCATCAGAGACCTGTCCGTGCAGATGAGGACTCTGGCTTTATCCACTAAGCAGTGAAGAACACTGGGAGGGTTTTAGGCGGAGATTAAGTGTTCACGTTTTTGACAGATGGTGCCAGCAGGTTAGAGGCTGTAAGTTTGTGCATGGAGACTTGTTCATAAAGCAAGGCAAGACAGGTTGTGACCCCAAGAGTGCCAGGCTGAGAGAGGTGTTTGGAAGAAAGTGGGGCTGAAAGATGTTTAAGGATGGGTCTGACCACCCCGGCTTGAGGCAGAGAGGTGGATCCTCTGGTTTCTCACTCCACCCAGGGTCATCAGTGGGCAAGCTTCTTCTCATTTTTATTCTGTTGTTTATTGTGTTTGCCTTTTATATTTGAACTTATTGCATAGCTGGCTGCTCTTCTGGGCACATAACTTAAGAATGAAGAAAGGAGAAAAGGCAGAGGGCTAAAAGTGAGGCCCCCGGTGCGTGGCCATTTGGATCAGGAAAGTGGGAGGGTTTTTAGCATCTTCACCCGAATAGACATCTGCTTTGTTGGACAGATGTGTCTAGACTACAGAGGAGCCTGGGAACCCAAGTCTGTTAGTCTGTTTCCCAGACTCACTACTGCTCTGCAAGTTGGTTTTGTTAAGGAAAAGGGAAACAACCAGTTCCAATTTCTGAACATTTTTCTCTCCCCGAAACCCCTTTTCTCGTCCTTTACTAATTAATACCCACTGTCTTTCTTACACCCATTTGAAGGCGACCTCCTGGATTCCCCTTTGTTTATAGGCTGCATCTTGTTCTGCTGTTGCCATTCTCTCCCTGACCTCCTCTGTTTTACCCTTCTTCCAAGGTAGTTTCAAATAGGAAAGCGGATGGTGCCTCAGCCTCTTTCACTTGTCCTGTTCTCTCAGCTCCAGGGCTACAGTATTCAACTGTTTAGTGTTTTGATTATTATGTGGCAAAAGACTTTCATTTCTGGTCCAATCTATCTGGTGTTCTCTGAGCTTCTTGTGCCCGTAGAGGAATGCACTGTGAATGTGTGTGAGAGGGTGGGGAGGGGGCTGGAGAGGGGGTTAATAGGACTTAGCAGAACTCCTGCTGTTCCAACTTGCTGATGTCTCTGGTAAGTGGGGGTGCAAGTCTTTGTCTAGTGACTCCCATGGACCTCAGCCTGTTCCTGCACTCTGCTTAAACTTCTGTTCCAATGTGTCTGGGGAGAATCCTTTTACAGTTGTTTCTCCTGTGTTTCAAGGTGAACTTGGTTCATCTGAGTGCTGACTACTAGACACGCGTAGTGGCTCCCATCTGTATCCCTTCAGAGGTCTCATTTTGAATAAATTTATTTACAGGGCTGAAAAGATAGTTCTGTTGGTAAAGTGCCTGTTTTACAGACATAATGACCTAAGTTTAGATGCCTAGAAAGCTTGGTGTGGTGGCATGTCCTAAAGAACAGTACTGGGGTGTGTGTGTGTGTGTGTGTGTGTGTGTGTTTGTGTGTGCTTGAAGCCCATTGGCTAGCTGGCGTATCTGAATAAATAAGCATCAGGTTTAGTGAGAAACCATCTCTCAAATCGTAAGGTAGATTGCTAAGAGGAAGACATACAACTTTGATCTCTGACCTTCATACCCAGGTGGCATGCATATGTATACATTCCGTATACATGTACATATGCTACACAGATACACAGACAGATGTGCACTGGTTAGGTGGGTTTTTTTTTTTTTATCAACTTGGCACAAGCTAGAGTCATCTGGAAAGAAGGAACCTCAATGAAAGTGCCCTCCTCAGGTTGCTGGTAGGAAAAATGAAGTGGAAATTTCTGGTTTCTTTAGAGACTCGGTTGTGTCGTGTGATGTTGTTCTGGAGACTGTCTTATGAGATGATATTTTGCTGAAGCAGACATGTGGTGTTTTACTGGAAGCTGTCTGGAAAAGGGCGTGTGATATTTTGCTGGAGTGGAGCTTTAGAGAACTGTGATGTTTGGAAAGGGTACACGCATAGCCCAACAGACAGTGGATGATGCTCTGCCATTGGCTCACTCTGCCTTCTTGGCTAATCACTGATTGTTGTAACTTCATAGAGAGAAGTGCACCAAAGATCTTCTTGTGATATTCTGGTGGCTTCTTGCTGCTTCCTCCAACTCAAGCCAATTGGCAGAGCTTCCCAGTTTCCTCTGGGTTGAACTGTCATTGCTGATTTGTGAATGGTGGTTGAGAGTGGATTGACCTACCACTGAGGATTCATATGAACGGAACTACTGATCTTCTGACAATGAAGGTTGGAATCACCCCCAAAGAACTATATATAAACAGGTCCATATCCCCTTTGCCCTATTAACCTTCCTTTTCACTACTTCTGTTGGGTGGTGGGCTAGAAGCGAGGTAAAGTGTTTAAGAACTCTTATTAAAGTGGGTTTTGAAACTTCTAAGCGTACAGGGAAGTCTATTGGGATATTGTCTTGATTTGTGATTGACACGGGAGGGTCCAGCTCACAGTAAGTGGTGCAACCTCTTGGCAGGTGGTCCTGGGTTGAATAAGAATGAAGGTTGAGTAGTCCACAGAAAGCAAGCCAGTGAGTAGCTCTCCTCTATGGTCTCTGCTTCCTGCCTCCAGGTTCCTGTCTTGAGTTCCTGTAGTGACTTTCTTCAAGGATGGACTGTAACCTCTGAAGTGAAGTAAACAGTTTCCTTCTCAAGTTGCTTTTGGTCAGAATGTTTTATCACAGAACAGAAAAGTAAAGTAGAACACCCATGTTCTCAGACAATGGAAAAACACACCAAAACACACAGGTGTATAGACAACAGAATAACACACCAAAGTACATCTATGTACAGAGAAGAGAAAAGGACACCAGGACACACGGATGCATAGACACAGCTCATTCATAATTTTACTTTCTTGCAAGAAAGGAGATGAGTGTGTGTTATCTTCACTACTTTCTTTCGCCAAGTTTTGCTGGTGAGGCTTCTAATCTGCCACCTGACTTGGACAAAATCTTTGGGTGAGGAACTAGCTGAGCCCCCATTTCATCACTAATCTTCCTAGGTTAGAAACCACTTTCAAGCGTCTGGGCTGATGTCAGTATAGGACAGATATGCGAACAAAATCCAGCTGGGTTCTGACAAAAGCAAAGACCTCTTCTCCTTTGTAGAAACAGTGAATTTCATTCTGCCTTTTAAGTCACATAGTTCATCCCCTTAGGCACTAGGTGAGAAAGACCGAGGGCAGAAAACCACAGGAAACTTCAATTACTATTTAATTATAAGGTTTATTCTCAAAGCAATTATTTCTTGGAAGTAACTTCAGATGGTCTTTGAACAGCAGGTGTTCTTGCCCACATCAGCACCAATAGTGGGTGGAGATGGCAGTCATCACTCAGAGACAGATAAGGCATCTTAATATTTAATTTCTTGCCCATATGGACTAATAGCACCAATATTCTAAAAGCTTAAACAGTTCTTGCAATGCTGTGAAGGTGTATAATTACGAACAAAAGTGTCTCTTGTAGAGAGAAAATTCAGAGGAAAAATGAGCTTTTGCAAGTAGGTGTTTGGGGAGGAAACAAGAAACCCTTTATTTCTGAAATCCTGGCTTACTAGAGTTTGAAGATACCCTGTTGACTACCCTGACTCTATTATATAGATGGAATTTAGAAAGTTTTCCTTGTTTATTAGTTCTTGAGTGTTTATTATGTGCATCGCACTGTGCTAGGGACTGGGAAGACAGGTGGAGCAAGACACAGTCTGCTTAAATAGAACTAAGAGAGTAAGATATGCGTATTGGTTAGAGTGATATAGATTACAGGGTGGTTGTGAAAGACCTCTGGAAATCAAAGGCTGGTGCTCAAAGTGCCGTGTCAACACTGAGCCAGCTTTAGCATATTCTATCTTCATTTTAGACTCCACAAAGTCACCATTTAAGATGTTGCCAGTTTTGTAGCATAGGAACAAAGGCACAGAGCCAACCACATGTTTGACGGTGAAGCACATACCCTAGACTTAACATCTTCTTTCAGATGCCTCCTTACTTCAGACCGTGTCTTTATCTATCTCAGCTATTCTACTGTTGCTGAAAATTTGAGATGAAGATAGGGAGTTTTTATCTAGCTTTTATGAACCTAGCTCTCGTTGGCTGAGCCATCTCTCCAGCTCATTACCTAGCTTTTGTAACAAAAGTAAAGCAGTAAAATGATCTGAAGAATGTTAGAATCCAGCACACATATTTAGAGTATTATATCCAACAGCAGCAGACTACATGTTCTATATAGATATATAGAGAGCATTACATTCAACAGCAGCAGACTATGCATTCTTCCCACATATATAGAATGTTACATTCAACAGCAGTAGGCTACATGTTCTTCCTAAGTGTACGTATTCTCCAGCATAGATCATGTGTTAAGCCATAAGTCTTACTAAGTTTATTTAAGAAGATTGAAATTATATAAATATTCTAATATATTTACAGAAGAATAAAGCCAGAATTCAATAAAGGAGAGAAATTGGAAATTTTCTCAATTACATGAAAATGAAACAGCATGCTTCTGAACAAGTGGTTCAGAGAGGAAATAAAAAAAATATCTTGAGACGAAGAAAATTGGAAACATCATATAAAAACTTATAGACAAAGAAAATTGGAAATATCATATAAAAACTTATGGTATGGAGCAAAGTCAATTCTCAGAGGCAAATTTATGGTGCTAAATAACTATATGAATAAAAAGAAAAACCGAAGATAACCAGCCTAACTTTACACATCTAGCTAGTAGGGAAAAAAAGCAAATTAAATCCAAAGTTATTTAAGACATAAATAATAAAGACAAGTGTAGAAATAGATTCTAAAACCAAGAAAGTTTTACTAAATTAACAGTAAGCCCTTTAAAAGATAAGCAGATCTGATAAACTAATATACTGCATGAAAAAGAGCCCCAAAGAAATGGGATAAATCCCTAAGGATTACTATTTCCCAGGACTGGATTATGGAAAACAGAAAATATAAACAAATCAATAGATATAAACAGACCAATAG